GACACAGATACAAAGCCCTATGTCTGTCAACTATATATCAGTTGGCTGGGTTGACAATTTCTGTCTTTCCAATTCATTACATTTATTTTATAGAATCAGTTTGTTTACAATAACTTCCGGGTAGAAAACCTCTGTGTAGCCTCAGACAAACGAGTGGATGCAAATCTTGACAGGTGATAAAAACACTTCTGCCAAATAATTCACCCACACAACAACTTTATTTCTAGAGATCACTTTAGCTGTGCATGCTCCAGTGAGGTGCATGCAATTCTTGGCAGGCAGGCCTCAGTACAAAACCATAAGTGAGATGTCCTTTATTATTTATAATGCAATTCATTTTTATAGTCCTTGATATGGAGCTAAATGCTGACAGCCTTTCCCTACTGAGGAGGAATCTAACAATCGAGAAGCCATGTTGTGGTTGGTTTATCAAAATCCTGCAGAGCTGAAAGACGACACTCACCTGGGGGAGGACCACCCGGGAACGGTGTGGGAGGAATCTTCCCCTGTTGAAAGGCAGCCGCTGTGGGGAGAAAGGACCAAACATTAACACACAAAACGAGCCCACGAATGTTCAGTGCGCCATGTTGTCATTGCATTTACTCCTTATGTGGAGTGCAAAGAAGAACACCACAAAGTGCACTGTGTGGGGTATTCCCAACATTTCTGCACTGTGCTGCAACATTAAAAAACAAAACTAAGCTTAAGGACGTGTAGCCTACTCTCTTTTTGTTGCAAAGGAGAATTTAGTCTGTAACACAACTTCCTCCGCAGTGGACAATACTACGCTCTAGCATCACACTGGCTTTGCATCTCTTATGTGGATTAGTGGTTTGTAATCTTAGAGGGGGCCCCACCAAGTAAGCTGGTGTACATAGTGCACTATTTAAGCAAAGGGTTTGGATATCCCACACATATGAGCACGCTTTGAGTGAGATTCATAACAGGCTTTACTCAAACACTTTATTGTCTACATCTAAACCAGGATATTAAATATTGAAAAGAAAAACATGCTGTGAATTTGAGTGTGAACAGTTGACTTCACAACCCTAAGAAATATATCATCAGTGATATATTACTGCCACTAGAGGTCACTTTAGTATTTAAACTAAACTCTCTGCACACATAAGCGGTAACCCAACTCATTTTAAATCCACATACAAGACACTAACACCCCCCAATGACTTTGTGTTGTACACTATGAAAACTCTCAGTCATCCAGGTAATAGGATATTGAGAACGTCCGCTGTCCTGGAGAGCACAAAAGACGCCTTTTGAATCAGTGGCAAAATGGCTTAAAAGAATTATGAGTGTTTGCTTTGTACTTCTAGATTCACTCAGCCGTGTTTTCTCTCATACTTACTCGTTTTATCGATCAGACTCTGAGCCTGCTCCTCCATCCATTTCTGGTAGTAATCTTTCACATTTTCTTTGTGTTTTCGGCCACTGCAGTGAGTCTTCCTCACTGATGGCTAGTACAGAAACAGAACAAATTAAAAAGTAAAATAAAAAAGTGGATATTTAACAGGCAGAATGCAACAAAGAAGGATTCTTTCCAACAATGTAATTTCGTACACAAAACTTACCGAATCATGTGTAAGGTAGGTGTCACAGTAATCACAGTAAAACCTGTGGAAAGAAAAGAAAAATGAGGGTTAGTAGAAAAACAATCCAGAGCTGTAGACATGACTTGTTGCAAAACTTAGAGCTGGGACTTAAAATAACTTGCTAATGAAGTTTACAGAGCCAGAAATAAACTTTACAAAGCTAAAACATCGTCTTTTAGTGGATTTTACAAGCTGAAATATAGAAATACAAACTCTAAATCGATTTGTTTAGCCATCATGTCCATATTACAAAGGATTCCCTTAAATAAATATGTTTCAACTGAATTGTAAAGGAGTCCTGTGGGAACTATAGTAAGCACACAATATGCAGATGTTACAAAATGTCCTGCAAGACAATTCATTGTCCAATACAAGTCATTTTTAACATATTTCACATTTTAAAAAGTCATAACTCATGCTCCTAATTTCCATCAACTTTATTTGCTACTTATTCATTTTATGGTGCGTTGTTCTGTGCAGCCTCGACGTCCACCTTGGAGGTAAATTGTGTTTTTTCGATCACTTTACATCAACATAATCTGCTCTCATCAATGAAAAATAAGTTAACAGAGTATAAAAACCGCATTAGTCAACCACAAGTCGGATCCGACGTGAATGTTATCAACTTCTACCTAAAACAAAAGAACCACCTCAACGATGAGCTCCACATGGGTGAGAAACATAGTCCTAAACATACTCAAACCCCCTGGACTTTAAGGGATTCACTGATTTAATATCACAGTATTAATGTGCTCGACTTTTATTGGTTGCTGTTACATTCACATCGAGGTGGAGTCCAGCAAGTAGACGCAGCCCAAACAATGCTCACCGCGTTCATCCGGATATAAACGGGTCCGTTTCTTTACTTTTCACCGTGGTTTTTTTTTTTATTGTTGTTGTTGTTCGTTGTTTAATGCAAATACATTCGATATCAATAAGCTGGAATCAGAGAGTGATCATTAGAAGAGAAATATCTGGACTTACTTAGGCATGATCCGCAGCTATCACCGCCGAGAGCGCGATTCCGGTGTTCCAGATGAGTGTTCCGACCACATGTAAGGGCTACCCACCGATGGTTCCGCCTTAAACTAAAGGTTTGTTCTGTTCGCCTTTTATTCTCAATCACTCACTCATAATTCATTCAGAGATAAGCCACGGCAGTAAAAGGTATTTGCAAATAAAATGTATTGTTAGATATTGTGCTGTTTGTTGAATTGAGAAGATTTTGCTTAATCGTTTTAGTGCCTGCTATTGGCAAATGACCTAATCGAAGTTTTGTTTAAATTCAAATTAAAGATCTTGTCCACTTTAAGCATATTTTTTTTTTATTATTTTAGTGGTTTATTTAACACACACACACACATACACAAAATTCCTCACTGCTAAAAAAAAGGTGAAGCATATTGCAATACTTCCATATATATAAAAAAATATAAAAAATTTACATTAATAACTTAACTTTAGTAAAAGTAAAGGATCAGCAAAATGTAGTCAAAGTAAAAAATATGTAACAAGGCAGAAGAATGACTCCATGTGAGATTGTTATTGGGTTATTATTACTGATGTATTACTATGTTATTTTATTGTTGTAGCTGCTCAAGGTGAAGCTACTTTTAATTAACTACTTTATATTGTTTGGTAGTTTAACCTACCAACAATACATCATGTGTTATAAGATCATCATTATACTCATCTATTCTTGTAGTAACTTGTCAAATAAATGTGGAGTAGAAGCATAAAGTAACATATAATGGAAATACTCAAGCACAAGTATACAAACTGAATCAAAGTCAACTACTATCCAACAAATAAACAAACTCAATTACCAATAATAAAGACATAGGGCATCTAAAAGTAGCAAGAACATACAGACAAGCATTATTCTTTCCTCACAAGAACATTTACACAGTTAGGCAATATATAATTTATACACTTCATCATTGTGTGTCGACAAGTACACACATCATAAACAAAAACACAATACTACCTACCGATTTACTTTCTTTGAAAAGCGAGGACAATTGAGATAGAATCAGATTTGTCTTTATAGTAGGACTGAAGTTGGTGATTGCAACAGTAACACATGTCCAGTAAAATTGTGAGAAAGAGGTTAAAACACTTTACTAAGGAACTGTTTAGTTTTTTTAACTACAAATATGTTTTGGAGATTTTAGGAAGACAGTGAAGTGAAGTGCCTCAGATTCAAACCTTTTGGCATGAAGACTTTAAAAATGTTTCCATGTTGGCAATTTAAAATATTGTATTTCATATAAACAGCTATAAAAAAAAAAAATGTGTCCTAATAATTCAATATCAGCATTACAAATATTACGACATATTAAACCTCTTGTGAATCTGCCACTGAGCTGCAGAATAAGCAGCTTGGATTTCACTGATGAACTAAATCATTTTTATTTGAATCCTGGGCTTACAGCTATGACTTGGTAATGCATTAGCTCAGTGGTACCTGTATATAGGATAAAGGCCCTGCGTTATAAACAGTGACACGTAACACTACTCTTGCATATTTAACAAAAAAGGGCCAGTAGCATTTGCACATTGTCACTTAACTTGTGCTGCTTGACTTCAGGCAGCAAGGATCGTTATTAAATCAGCCACAGAAGAATCAATACTAGTCCACAGAAAGGGTGAGACAATCACATAATTAGGCATTTTGAGTGACGTGTTTCATCTACTTTTCCTCCCATCCTAGGAACAAAACCACACACACACATCAGAAGGGATTGAGATGTGAAGGAATAATAAACAGGTATACTCTGTAAACCCTGTAAACTACTGCATACAAGCTGAAGAAAATCTACATCTACAATACTGTCCTCATGATTCATCAATATCAGTATTAAAATATTCAGGCAGTAAGGATCGTTATGAAATCAGCCACAGAAGAATCAATACCAGCACACAGATAATTATAATTATATATATTTATGCATTTTTTCCCACTCATGGCAGCTATGTCATGCCTTTGCCATCCTAGATTAAAAAACCCAAACACATCAGAGCGGATTTAGATGCTGACTCAAAACCACCACTGCCTTTCTTATATCTATAAGAAAAATCTGAAGAAGCTCAAAATCTATAAAAACCGTTCTCAAGATTCAATATCAGCATTAAACAATGTAACAATCAATAAATATAAATGACCGGATCCCATATCCGGCACCGACCAATTCATTGATCAACCAATGAGAACGTGGCTGCAAATAGCAACAGATGACGTCGCCCGCCCACTACGTGATTGGCGACGGTGACGCGCGGGCTGTTGCAACGTCACCGCCCCCCTCTCTCCCCCTCTCCCCCCCCCCCCCCCCCCTCCCCTAGTCGTGCCATGCGCACTGACGCTTGTTGTTGTTGAGCTGGTTGTTATGGCTGGACAAGGCCTCGGACTAAACTAAAGCGAGGACTCCCCTCCCCCTTCCCTCCCTCCCCCCCTCCCGTACCACCCCGTCTCTGCTACGGGACACCCGCCACCCATGGAGGGCACGGACATGGACGTGGACGCGGAGCTCATGCAGAAGTTCAGCTGCATGGGCACCACGGACAAAGACGTCCTCATCTCGGAGTTTCAGAGGCTGCTGGGCTTCCAGCTCAACCCGGCCGGCTGCGCCTTCTTCCTGGACATGACCAACTGGTGAGTGCGGGGATGAGAGGGGCCTGTTGTCGGACACCTAACCGAGCGACGTAATTAGCTTGTTAGTGCTTAAAAATAAATAAATAAATAAATAAATTAAAAAAAAAAAAAAATGGAGGCAGACGTTGCTAAGTTAGTGTTCAGAGAGGCTGATTTTATTACTTCCTAAACGGGGGAAATGGCAGTTAGTTCACTCCTGGCGGTTTGCAAACGGAAGTGAAACGTAAAGTTTTGTCTTCGCTGCGAGTTTTTTTTTTTTTTTTTTTTTTTAAGGTGAAATAACCTGAAGAAGATGAAGAAGTGAAGGTAGCTAACTAACTAGCCAGCATGCTAATTTTAAGCACTGTGTGTGTGTGTGTGTGTGTGTGTGTGTGTGTGTGTGGATTATCTGCCAGATTACATAATAGTGCCTCGAGCCAGTTAAAGCACGCTCTCTCTGCGGGAAGCCACAACTCAACGCAGCGCGAGCCACCTCACGTTAGTCTGGTGACGTAACCGGTCGTGATCCATCAACGGCGGACAACAAGTGTGTGTGTGTGTGTGTGTGTGTGTGTGTGTGTGTGTCATCTAATCAACTGGTATCAGACCTGTCAGCTGATCAGAGGTCGATGGCCTTGATCACACTTTTATTTATTTATTTATTTATTTATTTTAATTAAAAGGTAGAAAACTCCCAAAATATTCCGGGAGTTTCTTGTTTAAAGTTTGAAGTTTGACCTCATCGCGTGACTACTTGTCCAGTTCTGTGGGATTTTCCCTGTTGGGAATAGTTTTAAGGAAAGATCAATATTTTAGTGTAGTCCCTGTTTTCTACAGGATTGTTTAGCCGAGGTTGTAAGTCATCTTCTTGGTTATAAGATATCTCAGCATTTCGCTCATTCGTGTGAAGAAAACTGAACAAAAATGTTGTTTTTAAATGTTTGGATTGTTATTTAAGAGCGAGACTTTTATTACCTGAACACGAGCTATACTCGCAGAGGTTTCTGATAAACAGCCTCGTCCTGCATTAGAAAAGTTCAAACCACCAAAGAGCTATTAGGAAAACTGGCCAAGCGTCACATTTTGTAGAAAAATAAAAATAAAAAACATAACACGGACAGAGAATTATATAAAAAGTTCCTTAAAATATCAGCAAAACTCACATCGGATGCAATATTCACTGGAAATAACCTGCTTAAAATTCCATCATCACTATTTGGGTTCATTGTACAGTATATCAGCTGTTCTGTACTATTGTTGTTGTGCATTGAATATAATGTGATGAATATGATCTATAAAATGTGTCACTTCGTCAGGGATCCAGATGCATTTTGTCACATGATCAGTTAGTTAGCGGATGACACAATAGTCACACAGGTTTTGCACATAAATATCAGTGTGATAAATAGTCATGGAAAATACTACTCAGCCCATGTAAACAGTATAATGTAGTCGTGGCTTTAGAGGAGCTCTGTACAAAATAACCCCTGATGATGCCAGTGATGTCCTCAGGCTTACCTCAACGTTTGCTTGGAGACTACAAATTTATATCAGAAAATCTGTGTCGCACACCGGAGCTGCGGGGTTGACAGACAGAGGCATGAAGATATTAAATTGCTTAAAGTCGCTTCAGCTTTAAAACACTTCACATACAAGTAGAAAAAAAATGTGTCAATAAAAGAGATTTTCTCCACTGTTTACTGACTGTTGAGCAGTTTCAGGATTTTTCTCTACATGGTTTGCTTTAAAAAAAAGTTAAATCTATTTTAGGATATATTTTCCATTTAATTGTCAGTGTCAGATTGGTGTGCTGTTACATTTGATCAGATACTTTGTGAGGAAGCAGATCATAAAGGCTGTCTATCACCTGGACCCCTTGACTTTATTGAATGTCTATATTGTAACATAACATTTCTTGTTTCTTGTTTCTTCCTTTTGCGTTGGAACAGGAACCTGCAGGCTGCTATTGGCGCATATTATGACTTTGAAAGTCCTAATGTCAACACGCCATCCATGTCCTTTGTTGAAGATGTGACAATTGGGGAAGGAGAGTCTGTTCCTCCAGATACACCGTTCACAAAGACCTGGAGAATACAAAACACAGGTGTGGAGCATGTCGCTGCATTCACATTCATCTTATACATTTTATACTGAGTCTGTATGTGCGCCAGAGCAAACGTGAGTCACACCATCACGGTTCTGTTACTGATCTGTGTTTTGACTGCACTCGTCCGTTTGTATTACAGGTGCAGAGTCGTGGCCACCTGGGGTTAGTCTCAAGTACATCGGTGGGGATCAGTTCGGGCACGTAAACGCAGTTATGGTAAAGTCACTAGATCCCCAGGAAATATCCGATGTGAGCGTGCAGATGCGAAGTCCCACAGCTCCAGGCATGTACCAGGGCCAGTGGAGGATGTGTACAGCCACCGGATTATTCTATGGAGGTAGGAAATCTCCAAAGATTTGATTTGTTTTTAATGAGGCAATTTATTAGGGCTGCAATTAACATTTGTTTTCATTATTCTGTTAAATCTGTCAAGTTGTTTTCATCAGAATTCCATCATACGTTTATTCTGAGCCAAGTCTCTAAATCTGAACATTCAGTTTATAAGACTAGTAGGTTAAATCAGTCATATAGTCAGCCCATGTTTGTGTACGTTTCTCTTCCTCCGTAGATGTAATCTGGGTGATTCTTAGCGTAGAAGTTGGAGGTCTCCTCGGCGTGACCCAGCAGCTGTCCTCGTTCGAGACAGAATTCAACACCCAACCCCAGCGCAACGTGCAGGGAGACTTCAACCCCTTTGCCTCGCCACAGAAGAACAAGCATGACGCCACTGACAACAGCTTCAGAGATCCTGGCGGAGCCTGGGAACGTACACAAGAGCCAATCCAGCAAGATCAAAATGGACTGTCTCATAATGCTGTAAATAGGGCGTCAAATGGTCTTCAAACCAATCTTTCTGTGGTGACTTATGGTCAGGTATGTATGACTTAAAGTTAGGTTTTTAGTACACTATTTGAACCTTGAAAAATTAGCACATATGAGTAGCTTTACTGATACATTGTGTGTGTGCATGTGCTAAAATACAGTTGTCATGAAACATGCCTCCATCTGCAGCAGTTGGTGTGGATTATATGCTCAATTTAGTACATATATCCCCTGCTGTGATATATTAAGTGCTTCTCTAAGGGGTCGGCCTACATGGTTGGTGGATTGATGTGTTGGTTGATGTGCACTAGTTTGAACTTTCAATCAGTCAAATCTTAAATATTCCATTCAAAGGAAATCACATGTCACTGTGGATGTCCTGGATGTGCAATCGACAGAGTCTGGATCGGGACATCTGATTAATCAACTAAACTGTTGGCAGCATTAACAGTGTATGTAGTAGCTGCTGTGGCTGTAGAGCAGGACAGATAAAAGAGAAATCAACCCCACTATGATGGAAGCTCCGGTCTTTGGAAATTGTATATAAAAAAAACAACAACCTTTCAAATATTTTGAGGTGAAGTAGTGTTTGCTATAGAGCAGCGAGACTTCCATGACCAGCTGATTGTGAAAACAAAGGATGACCAGTGGTCCTCCCTCTTTTCTGAAGCACTTGTTTTCTTATTTAAAACCTCAAACGTGAGTTATCTTTGACAAACTTATGACTCTTCTCCAGCAGTATTATAAGATTATAAGTTATAGTCTGAAATAGAGGAATGAATCTTCAATGGCCTCACGATTCGATTACAATTCACCCGTCAAAGATTCTCGATGCATCTCAAAGAACCCTCAGTTTTCTATATTACCGGACATAGCTACTTTTTGTGAGACCCACCTCAATAAAACTATTGCTGTTATTGTTACATACGAGTCAGTCCAGGAATCACATGTAATGGATACTTGGATACTCCATTACCTGGCTTTTGGTTTCGCTGATTGGCTCGCTGTATTCTTTATGGTGGCAGACATTAGCAAGGTGAAAACCGTTAACGTGGTTCTTTAGATTAGTTGTTTTGCCAAAGTATTGCACTGTTGCGAGGCAGATTTTATTTAATTTTTTATCGTGCGGCTTGTCCAGTTCTTGCTTGTAATGTAATCTTCAAAGATGTACTGTGACTACGGGTATGATGAGGAAGTATGTGGCAACCACCACGTGAGTATTGCTACTATTCATGTTTGCATTGATTATATTGCTAATTAATTGTGACACGCATCAGAAAAAAAGGCCGTAGCTTCTTTAAACTAACTTTACTCTCTCTGTTGAGGAAAAGTCTTCACATCACTGCATCTACTGCATCTTACTCAGTTGAATTACCTGAATCTCACAGGTGTGGCCACATTGTTATACAGTAGTATCACATTATACATGTCTTAACCGAGCCCGTATTCACAGTTTTGGCTAATAGTCTCTCCTGGGTAGTTTAACTGGACTGTCAGGGTCCCCATGCATCCTGAAGACCTGGAAAAGCTGGAAATCTAGAGACTAGTTTTCCAGTCATGGAATTTCCCACCTGGAAATTGAATGAAATTACCTGGAAATTTTGGTAATTTGGCCCCCCTGCAGATCGCCTGCATAAGCCTATGTGCATGTTTTCATTTGAAACTCGACTGTCGGTGGGATAAACTGTATGATATTTCAAAGCGGTTTTACCAGATGCAAAGTGCAACCGACTTTCAGTCATCTTTTTGGCACCGAGTCTATTTTTTCCAGAGCTGCGAGCAAAATCTACATGCATACAGCAACAAATTTCTTGTTGCTTTGGTTGATAAATACATTCACGGTAATCACAGTAACTTTCTAGAATCAGAATTTTCTCTTAAATCTAATAAATTCTACTTGATTTGAACTTTTACTTATGGGCTGTGGCCAAATTAATGTAAATTAGTCTGAAACTGCAGCTTATATGACCATTTGTAAGCAAATGCTGTCCTGTATTATCAAGAAAAACGGCATCCAGTCGTGGTATTTAAATGAGGCATTCATTCAAAAGGACATGTGACTGAGCTGCGTCCTACATGTATTGCAGGTTTTTTTTGTTGCCCTGAAACTGATAATAACAACAGATGGCGTTGCAGCTCTTGCGTACATCTCACACTGACGTATTGCACATGCATCCCCTGCGCTGTAACGCAGTGGTTCCCAACCCTTTTCTATCATTGAGTAAACCGACAACCCCTGACTAGGTGACATATTATATGGATATTTCACATTATATTCAATGCATAAGACAGTATTAATGATAAACTGTTCAAATAATGAATAAAGCTTGTGTGCAAGTTTACAAAGATCTAAAATAATAATCTGGACTATATATAAACAACAATTTCATTTAGTTTTCTTCACAGAAATAAACTAAATGCAGAGATACATGCTTATAGTGTGTATTGTCATATTTTCTTACACACCATAAAATCAAGAAAGCTACACGTGATCCTGTGAAGCTTTGGCGACCCCTAGCAGGGGTCCTGACCCCCAGGTTGGGAACTACTGTTGTAATTTGGCTTCGATTTTCCATCCATTTTTTTTAATGTTCCTTTTTTAAAAACCTCAAACTATAACCTCCTGTAACACCCTTTCTCTTATGTTTATTTTCCAGGGTATTCACGGACCCTATCCATTTGGACAAAGCTAGAAAGACAAAGACCCCCCCCCCCCATGGTGGATGATGAGCTGAACACCCTGGGAGACCTTAAATGCAGAGGAGACGGAGGGGGGGAGGACAGTTGTTTTATATTGACTCATGACAACCCTCTCCCCAACCTCATGGCCCTTTCCACAGAAACACAAACTACGGTGGGGTGATGGATTACGTGCGCTACAGTGAAACATCCCACCTGACATCATCACCCGGATACGCATGTGTGAATGCTTTGTTTAAGAGTGCTATAAACCCTTAAAAATAGATACACACAACTATTTTTATTTCCACTGTACAACACGCCTAATTAAAGGGAAAATCAACCCTAAACAATCTCCATACAATTTTGGTATTCCCATGGGCAATTGATTACTTTGTTTCTTCGGGGTTCCTACACAGGTCTGAAAATGAAAACTGCCAAGAATAGTACAGAATTCATTGTGATCATAGCACATTTTGAGGCCTTGAAAAGTGTGAAAGAAAGACTTGTGGGATGTACGTTTTAGGTTGGAAAAAGTGTCATCTTTTATTCACTGTACCAAACAGTTTTCGAGTTTTCCTGTAGCCTTACACCAGGTTTCACACACGAAACCCGGTCAATGATGTGGAATGTTAAACAACAAGTATGACCGGTTGTACCGGACGACGAGATGAATATCGGAACATTGCCATTCACGAAAGACCAGAACTAAACCACAGATTTGCTGTGGATAAATCTGGATGATGGAGATGGAAAATATTCCCATGTTTACATCTTGTGAGCATTCACATCGCCAGGAACTCGAAATGGCTGGAGGATAAACAGATTTGGCTGTGTGAACAAAAGAAATGGCACTATATCCATTAAAGTTGTGTTTAATTACAGCTGACACGAAGCATCCGCGTTTGTTTGGTTTTCAGACACTTCCGTTTTATGAAGCGCCAAATGGGATATGTTAGAGCTTTTCAGAGAAGTTTCCAGTTGCGATTACAACTTAGATGTTTACGTGAACGCTATTTACGAGTCGGGGTATTCAGATAACTTATATTATTATTTCTTCGGCTTCTACAATTTCAGGTTTAACAAGTCTGACATTACTTTCTGTATTCATTGACATGAAAGATTTAAACAACTTGTGATGTATTTAAAGAAAAGACAACGTGTGTGCTCTTTGTTAAAAAAAATACTTTGAGATCGTATGACCTACTGTCATGTTTCAAGTATTTTTGTAACTGGAGAATAATTTATGACTGAGAGGACTAGAAGTTATCACCGATATCTGTCTTAATATTACATTTATTACTCAAAGGTTACTGTTGTGTAAGCAGTGTTCACCCTGACAGTGAATCGTTTTGGTGTTTGTAGAGCCATGTCAGATAACATGTAAGAAAAAAAAGAAACAATTAAATTTGTCATTTGACTCATTAGACTCTTTTTGACATCAACACATTGTCAGTAACCTAAAAACCAGACCATGTCCTAGTGTTTTCTACGATACGATACATGACACATTTGGAAACTTTGTCACAAAATAACATTGCACTGCGACATCCATCTGCTTAAAGTCAAAGATAAAGCCACATCTGAAAGAAGTATCAGTGTTCAGACACACGTTGAACACAGATTCAAACATCCAGACTATCCCTGTGTAGGAACCCTGTCTCTCCCAAAGATAAAATCCAGAGAACCAAGACACTAATCTGTTCTGTCATCAAGCCACGCTGTCTGAAAGTTCCCACTTAAGACTGCATGGGACGTGTGTTGTTGTTATTGTTGTTGTTGTTTTTTTAGGGTGGGTTTTCACTTTAAATAGATGCTGAAGCGCAAAAGGATGCGAGTGAGTTTGAGTAAGTGAGGTGTGAGGAAGGGTTGAAAAAGCCATCTAAATCTATTTTGCCTGATGAGTGACTGTAGTTTCTGAGTCCATGTCTACAGTATGTGTACTAGATATATATATATGTATGCGTGTGTGTGTGCGTGCGTATGTGTGCACGTATGTTATGGTTTTTCTTTTGGATTTAACTGACATAAAATGGTGTATACTACTTGGGCAAAGGATGACGTGTCTACTCCCATACACATCGATATTGAGAGAGCTCTACTGGGCGTGTACCTCTGAAGTATTTTTTTTGAGTGATTCTGCACCGTTTGGATGAACTGACTCACTAATTGCCCTGATGTTATTTATTTGCTCTCTTATTGTGCACTGCAGATGCAAAAAAAAAAAAAGTCCCATTTACAGCCAGCAGGTGGTGCTAAAAAATCAGATGAGCAACTTTTATTGTAAAGAAAATATGATTCTAGTATCACTGTTTGAATATGGAGATGAATGGTTTTAGCATCAGGATTAGCGCCGATGTTCTGTTACTGCTATTTGCACAACTCTGTCAACGACCTCCGATGAGGAAAAGTGATTTTTGGCTTATTGTTGGCTTGTGATACCAGAATTTTCCGGAAGGTTTTTATTGATTTGTTTCGCTTATCCGCTCTCCCCCTAAAAGGCTTACGGTCTTCACAGCTTTAAGGTTTTGTTTCCATAGTGTTTAACCATAAAGTTTTTACCACTGCACCAATGTTTGATCTTATAAACGAAGGTCCATTCATGTTAACCACACTGTTAGGTTCTGCATATCTGCGAATGAGTTACACAGTTCTGTCTGCCTTCACACCAGAATTATTTTTATTTTTTTGCTGTTCAATATATCATCAGTGGATTTCATCATGTATTTTTGGGCTTAACAATAAAATGGGAAACGTTGATGGAACTCTGTGATAGTGTTACAGTTTTTTTCTAAGGGAATCTTTCATTCAAAAATAATTATTCGTGTCTTTTCGATGGTTTAATTTATTCAAATCTCTTCTAGTTGTAATTATGAACATCTAAATGCTGTTTAGAGTTTGTTGCTTTTAATGGTCATGTGTGCCCGTTTTGTAAAATTCACCAGCATCCTGTGTTGCAGCGCTGCTGTATTTGTATTGAGAGTCATCTGAGAGTCCTCCTCCCAAACAGTATACACTGTTCTGCATTGCTTCTTCCAGTCACGTCAGTCTTTTCTTTTTTTGTGTGTATGCGGTTCCTTCTTGTGTGTGTGTGTGTGTGTGTGTGTGTGTGTGTGTGTGTGTGTGTGAGAGAGAGAGAGAGAGAGAGAGAGAAAAGAGACAGATGGTGAGAAATCTGAATATTGCTGGATTCATTCTGTAGTTTTAGTTTGTGACTATGTACGGATTTGCAATGGGTGGCATGGTGAGTGGATGAGATGAAAGTTTACATAGTCCTACAATAGCACATTTATCTGAAGAGAAACTGTCAAAAGCTTTTTTTTTCTTTTTCTCCTGTATCTATAATTAAGCATTTGTATGATTAAATTAACACTGAAACAATGAGTAAGTTGTCTTTTTTGAGCGGGCTGAATACTAGCCTTATTATTTTTCTGTATTTTACTTCCTCCTCCACTTACACCTTAAATTACACCAGGCTCAGCCGTTAACGACAAGAGGAAGAGCGGCAGCAGCAGTTTAAACCTCCACATCGCTTTTAGTGACGTGACTACTGTGAAATCTTAGATGGATCGCTCTGAAATATGGTTGGCATATCCTCTGTGCCCCGAGGATGAATTTTAACGACTTTGCTTATCCCTGACTTTTCATCTCCTTGTACCAGTAGCTTAAAAGTTTCCGGGAAATATTTCAACATCTATTTGATTGATTGCAGACATTTATGATTCCCATTCTCTTCAGTGCCAGCTAGAGATTTTTTTTATATCAACATTTTGTTCTTTAGTGTAGCAGAACCTTCCCGACATGCACAACAGCAGCATCCTGACTCTGTTTGACCCGAATGGAACAGACCCTTAATTAGTATCATTGGTAATATCTGTGGTTACCCTACTACTTCATGTCAAAATGGCTGTTGTGAAAAAGGTTTATTGGATAAACTGCAGATACATTAAACACACATTCAAGTCCCCCTCAGGATGAATTGTGCTAACTTTGGTGATCCCCTGACCTTTTCATGTAGCGCCATCTTCAGGTCAACACTATTTACTTTGGGTTAATATTTGCAAAACTGCTTGTGTGGGTTTAAAGTTTTATATTTTACTTTTCAAACCTGCAAAATAGAGTTTTGTGTTTGTATGTAGATCATTTGTCTTATAATGACTGAACAGCTCCCTCTTGAGGATAATGTTGGAGTATTTGCATCCAAAAACCTGTATTACTACAGTAACAGGCCAAAATCATACACCCACCGGATTTTCCAAAAGCAGAAAGTCCTTTAGAAATTGAATGGCGAGACATAAGGATAGGGATTTTAGTTTTCGCTGATATTCAAACGTATTTGAAAGGTATCTAAGCAAACAGTATCACATATCAGTCTGAGTTGACACAACCACTTCCACAGAAGTGCATGTCCAAATATTAAAATTCCTCTGTTTAGTGATGGTATAATTGACCTTTTTTATATGCATATATTTCCAAGGAAAGTACATACCATCAGATAGTCAAAAACAAAAAGTATGGGAATATGTCTTTGGTGTTGGCTTTCACAAGATTCTGAGGGCTCATAGGAACACATCTCAGCACAAAATGACTGGATTTTGCATAAAAATTTGTTGGTTTGTTTGTTGTAATTTCTCATTTGAGTGCACTTCCTCCACTAGGTCGTAAAATATCGAGAAAGAACATTATTCTTTGGGCGATAAACATTTTATCTCATTCAAAACTGCGCTAAAATGAGGTTAGTTGACCCATTTTTACTGTCTTCAAATTGACTGAGGGTGACCACAGTAATACAGGTATACTGAATTCACGTGTAAGAGACAGTGTGTGCATGGGTGGGTGTGCTGTCAGTGTGCATGCAGGTGGCGAGCACTGAGGCGATTATTTCAATGGGGCTTGTGTAGACATCGTGTGACAGGGTAACTAGGGAACAAATATTGACTTTTGTTTCAGCGTGGATTCTCCAAAACTCCTATCATATTTTTGATCTCTCATAGCACTTGAGTCAATAGGTTTGTTTTGCTGGATAACTGCCCATCATTTATGTCAAGGCAAACAGGCCTGTAGCTCGAGGCCTGGAGAGCATACAAGTGAAGGAATGGAACACAGGTGTCAGAGATGGACAGTGTTTTAATACTTGGAAAAGCACCGTAGGGGTTGTTTTTTTTTTTGTAACTTTTTAGCAACTTTTGGGGGAAATGTGCAAAGAACATGAATGCCTTTATGGGTTTAAAACAAAAGTTAAAGATGAAATGTTTTTAATCCATTTGTGCTTATTCCTAGTCAGCATCACAGGTGGATTAAGATTCAAATATAAATGAAATCTTTATTGAAGACACTGGAGGAAGTGCTTGAGGCCAACTGAAATGTTTAATTTAAAAATCTCTTCCTCTGATCCTTATCTGTCAAAATTCAAATGAACCCCTCCATACTGTCTTGCCCCCAGCAATAAACAACAAGCACCACTCACCAAATATGTGCATCACGACACACACACAGTAGTGATATTAGCTTTTACTTCCTCAAAATCAGCAATTAAAATCAGTTATTAGGTGTTAAAAAGGTGACATTTACTCACTCAATATAATGCAAAAACCCAACAGTGAGTGTGACGGGTTAAGTGGTGCAGTCAGCGCCGGAGACAGGAAGCAGCCGTGTGTTTTCATACACCATCTGGTTGATAGAGTTCCTACTGCCTTAAAAGATATCAATGTGATTAGATTAGGGATTTTTATTTGTCTGGGTGGGGAGTGCTGCGGGCATCATAAACTAAAACCAACGTAAGCAAAAACTGAGCATCATTAACTCAGAGTAGAGTCAGCGGTGGAAGATCATTTACTCAAGTCAAAGAAGAAATACTACATTACTAGCCGAATTCCTCATTCATAATTTCCCCTGCAGAAGAATTTGCTTTAAAAATGTAACAAAAATAGAAGTACTTTTATAAAAACTGGCCCCATATACAGCATTTTAATGTTTTAACTGGTCCAGGTGCCAGGTTTCACTGTTTTATACACTCCTCAGTAGCCCACATTAAAGCCTCTAGCAAAGCATCATACAGTCTATTATAATGTTAAGTTTTGTCTCTAAAGATAAATATTGAACTACACTTGTCGGGTAATTGTAGTTGAATAAAATGCATATCTGTCTTAAACACAGCAGAGTGGAAGTATAAAGTTTCACAGGATAGAAATAATGAACTAAAGACATTAAAGTACCGCAGACATTTTTAAAGCTTAACTAATTAATATTTTTTATATATTATAATAAAGCTGGATCACATGGCATAAAAAGATGAAAGGAGAACCCACCCCTCATTTATCTCTTTGTTAATGTCCAGGACTCACTCTCACTGCTTTCATTAGTGACAATTTAAGCCTCAGCAGGCGGCCGTGCCAGTGAAAAAGCTCTGATAAACCAACTGTCCACCAAACAGACAGACACAGTTAGCAACTAATAACTATAGCAGAGCACTAAAGAGCCAGATATTTATATCATGAGTTAGTTGAGACCAAAACCACAGCTAAAAGGAGAGCAAGTGTTAAACTTACAGTCATCAGGTGGCCAGAAACATGGGCTCCAAATGAATGATAATGTTACCCTGTAGCTGCTGGATGTGAAAATAAGCAATAACAACTTCATAATGACAGTGTGCTGTGTTTACAGCTTGTTACACTACTTTAAGTACTGCACTTAAAGATCCCCTCCAGACATATATGACGGCATAGTCTGCTTGGAAAATAAAACAAACATTAAAATACTTTGAAAGGCATCTACCTCCTTAAAAGTTCCATAATCAGTGAATATGTAAATTGTGTTCATTGTTTATGTTTTCCTGCTGGACGCAAGATGTCTCCTGCTTCACTCCACAAAAAGGCAAAATGCCCTATCTAGAGCCAGTGTTTGGTTTTTTCCGTTCTGAGCTGCTGTAGAAACATGGCTGTCCAATAGCAGACAGAAAATAATTAAATAATAACAGCTCTTCTAAGGTAACAAGGTGATTAATGAAAACATACCTATGAATATTATTTTCCATTTCTGCCCATTGATCCTACTAAATGTTACACACTGGACCTTAAAGGGCTACAACAATTATTTTCTACTGTGTTGTGTTTGTTTTGTTAAGCATACTGTGACTCAGATGTCATGGCCTTTGATGGATTGATGATCATTAATCAATAAAATGTAGACTGAAGTCAGTGAAAAGGTTGACTGTGTTCCTTTTGTGGTAGGTGGTCAACTTGTTATTGTACTGAAATAAAGAGTATGTACACGTTTTTTGTAAAGTTTTTGTCTTTAACACACAGTATTGGATCCATATGACATCAAAGACCTGTTCTGTTTTCTTCATCTGAAAGAACAAAAAAAAAAAAAATGAATATCTTGAACTAGTTTTTACACTTTCAGTTCCAATTTAGGAACAAAACAATCATTTGTAATATATTCCAAAAGGGATTACTTCGTGCAATCTGTCTCCCAAAGGACGTGATTCACCTACATAGACAGTTAAAAGTTTGCAGGAAGAGTTCCTACCTCCTCTTCATCAAGTGTTGGTGAATACTGTTGCACTATGTCGGGTGCTGTCGGTTTAGAGAATCTTGAACTTATTACATTATTGTTTTGAAGATAAGATAAGATAAGATAAGATATTCCTTTATTCCTTTATTTGTCCCACAATGGGGAAATTCCACTACTGGGAGCAGTGCTGGTTGTTATACAGTCTGACAGCAGCAGGAAGGAAGGACCTACGATATCTCTCCTTCGCACATTTGGGGTGAAGGAGTCTGTCATTGAAGGAGCTGCTCAGTGTAGTGATGGTGTCCTGCATGGGGTGGGAGACATTGTCCATCAGTGATGATAGCTTTGCTATTATCCTCCTCTCTCCCACCACCTGCACTGAGTCGAGGGGCCAACCCAGGACAGAGCTGGCCTTCTTAATTAGTTTGTTGAAAAAGGTAAAGGTAAAGGTGCAGTGTGTAATATTTAGGAGGATCTATTGACATAAATGGAATATAATGTGTTTTGTTTTCATTAGTGTATAATCATCTGAAAATAGGAATGTTTTTGTTATCTTAGAATGAGCCTTTTATATCTAATCACCTTCCATAGAGGCCACCATGTTGAACTATCATGTTTCTGGCTGTTTGTTGCACTTCATAGCCACCAGAGTTTCTCCTTTGCGCTTGGAAAGGGAGGGTGAAACGAGGGAGCTGTGATCTGCACCTACGCCACTAAATCTTACACACTCTGACTCTGGAAATTGTTAATTTCAGTAATTACTGAACCTCCTTCAGCAAGACTTCATCAGTTTCATGCAGGATCAGTGGTGTAGTGCAGGTTATAATAGAGTACTTATTTTTCACGACTACACCACTGCTACCACCAGT